TTTTTACATTTGTACTTTGTGTCCATAACCTTTGGGATAGCAATCAAATTATTGCGCTCTGCACATCATCTCATTAAGGTGATCACTTGTGCCAAGTTATTTAAAAAAACGGTTTAAAAGTTATGGAGCGGACATGAAATGTATATTTTTTATTTTATTATGAAATGAAGACTTTTTTTACATTTGACCTTTCTATGTGACCTTGATTTTAGGGGTAGCAACCCAATTATTTCTGAAAAAACTTCCAGCGGTAAAAATTATTGTGGAGGGGCCACGAAATGTATACATTCTCTTATGAAAAGAAGACTTTTAAACATTTGACCTTTTAGTGTGACCTTGGGGTAGCAACCAAATTATTGCACTTTTTCAGTATGGTGATCACTTGTGTCAAGTTATTTTTTTTTAAACTTGCAGCGGTTTAAAAGTTATGGAGTGGACAAGAAATGTAGACTTTTTATCATGAAATGAAGACTTTTTAACATTTGACTTTTAAGTGTGACCTTGAGCTTGGGGTAGCAACCCAATAATTGTCTCGTTATGGTGATCACTTGTGCCAAGTGATTTCAAATAAATTTCAGCGGTTTAAAAGTTATGGAACGGACACGAAAGTGTTACGGACAGACAGACGGACGGACAGACGGACGCCATTCCTATAATCCTCTTTCCGCTACGCGGAAAGGAAATTAAAAGAGAAAATACACTTTACCCAGCCCTCTACTCGTAGACAGGTTGCTTTTCTACTGCGCTCGTGTGAACGTACAGAATGGAGCTTAAAGTGAAGTGTTGTTGACAACATCCTAACAAAGATATAGCACTAAATAAATATAGAAATCTAGTACAGTGACCCCATCCCCGCCAAAACAGGACCGTTTCTCTGGTTGCATTAAAGATTGGTGCTTTAACAAATCAGTTAAAAGTTTTGTTAAAAGTTGAAAGTTTTGTGAAACCTTCAGCATCTCAAAATAATGTTATTCAACAAAATATACAATAAATGGTTCTTTAACATTGTCATATTGCTCTGTTTATTGGCGAAGTATAATTTGCAGCTCCAAGCGTGATTGGAAGAAGGGTTCATTGAGATTTCTTTACTTCATGTAATTGAATTGCCAATAAGATCTTAATTACTTCTTTAGAATTATTATGAAGTTTGTTAAAGGTAATAAATAGTGACTGTATTAATGAAAACAAATATCTAAAGACTTAATATCTATAAGAATCATGCTAATAACAAACCTTTTAATTGGTTGTGACAGATTGTGATAATCAAATTCACGGGTGATATTATAACTGTACACTGTCTCATTTCCATTCGTTACTTCTGTGGTCAGTCCTTTGTCAATTGGAAACGTTATCTCTGCAATAAATTATAAAGAACGTGCTTTTTTCTAGCAGTTAACAAACCTTTTCTATCATCAGACATAACTTCTTTTCTCAGACCATCATTTACATTTTCCCTCCTTTTTCCAATAAATTAACGAAATCGTAAAATTCCTTCAACCAAATCATCTCAAAGAACAAAAGCACGCGTGCAGAAAGGAGCAAAAAGTTTTAATGTAAACAGATATTAACCCAAAACTTACCGACATGTTAACCCTCTTTGGCTTTTATATAAAACAATGTTCAGCATTTTAAGCTTCAATTTGGACTCAGTTTGCATCATGAGCTTCATGAAATATATATCAAAACTGGCGGGAAAAACTGTACTTGTTTGTTTGGTTTTGTTTTGCATTTATTATTATTAGTATTATCATTATTATTATCATTATTATTATTGGTTTATTAATATATTCATTTCTTTTTTTACCAGAGATGGTAATTTTTTCTCCAATACTCGCACCATATATTCCGGGAAAGTCAAAATATTTCGTTGTTGCTGTCATTTTGTCTTCTGCTGTTCGAACATAGTACCCAATGGCTTCTTGTTCTGCGTTATAATACTACAATAATTCAAATAGAATATTAAAATATGCATATGATACTTTTTGTTCAAAAGAAACGGAAATATATGATATTCAGTATTTTTTCTTTCGGATACTTGGCGAATCACTCAAAAAGAACTCGATAGTCAATAAACTCGACATTGGATACTTATCGCTAGCAAATCAAATAACAAAATTTACATTTTATGAAACTCGTACATGTACCTTTTGCTATAAAATACAACTAAAAAAATATTTTGCACGATGTTGTTTGCTATAAAAACAGGAAGTGCACCAAAAACATATATATGTCATGACGTATTATTTAGATACACTTACAATATTTTATAACTAGTATCATAATACATATTAAATAATTAATAATACCGACTGTTTAATATTGTGTTATAGACAGATTAATGTTGTTAATGCTGTTGATGTGCGTGTGCTCGTGTGTGTCCGTGTTTTTGTGTCTTTGTTTGTTTTTTCGGATTTTTGTTGTTGTTTTTTTTTCGGGGGTGGGGGGAGTTCGTGATTTTTAAATGTTAAGCTGTTTAATAATGCCGAAAAAAAATTAAGGATACAAGCAGGTATGCGAAATTTATATTTTGTGGTGTTTATAATTGAGCACTATAAAATATGGGGGGAAACACGTTAAAACCGTATAAAATAAAACACTTTTGTTAGGTTGGTGAAGATAAAATAGACCAATGAATGAAAAAAACAGACACATACATGCACATTGTATTGCTGAAGAAGTGGTGGATAATCTGGGTTTTTTTTTTGTTTGTTTTTTTTTTCTTACTAAATGTCATTTTAAAGTAAAACAAATGTATAAAAATGGTTAATGTTATCATATTTAGAAGTTTATCGCAGGTTAAGGTAGCGAAGAAATCAAATCAACATATTTTGTAACATTCCTTTGAAGTTTGTTTAAATAAGCAAAAAGAACAGCACACACATAAGTCCTTGTTCAGCTTAATTTATTGTTACCTGAGCTTGCAAAATTAAATTCAATGACTCACTAATTACTATTTCTGATGATTGTCAATCCCATGGATTTTTTTAATTCAAATGTTTCTGTTATCACTTTTTAAAACCAAGTTTTAAGAATCGCTTATTTATCTATATATACACTAGAAGCTGCAACGACATTTTTAATTATGTCCTTTTCAGATTAATGTGTCTAAAAAGAATGCATTATCATACCAAAGTTTTAATCAGTATTTAGTAATTTTATTACACTTTTCAGTTTCGGGACTATCAATTCAAGATAGAAAACACTGTGTTATGGGTACCTCTGTTATTTTAGTTAGTTGTTGTTTTAATCCAATCCACAAATAGAATTCGCCCTCGTCGCAAATAAAATTTCCGAATCTTAGATGTCAATGTTGTCAGCTAAAATTTATTTTCTTTTACTTCTTGTTTTAATACGGAAATGTAGCGGGAAACGACACTTACAGAAAGGGCGGATTCGATATTTTCATTCTGACATGCGTGCATATATTAAGTTAGCATAATAATAATTTAAAATCTTTTTTTCATTTTATTTCTTAATTTGCTATTATTTTACCTGGTCTTGCTCAGCTTTCTTCTTTTGGAAGTTTTCATTAGTAATTTTTGGGATATATAATAAAAGCGTGGGTCAGCAAACAGTGAAAAGCCTGGTCAGACCTGCATACTTGCCTGCTCTATACCTGTGGTAAAAGTTTTATCATTGAAGGTCCATGCAGGGCGTACATAAAAGTAACTGTACTTACGTTTTTAACAGCATAGTTAATAGCATTCTCGAGATCATCTATCGTATACACGGCAAAGTCACCTTGTGAAGGAGGATATGGCAGCGTTTCCCAGCCTGTAAAATATATAGTCCACAATGTTTTTTATTTCTTTTCGTTGTGAAACAATTCTTAATAAAAATTGTTGCCCAAAGAATTATAATGATATCTTCTTTAAGTATTCAATTTGTATCAAATAAAATTCATCCGAAATGTTGTAATCCTAGTAGTTGCCCATGTGCACAAAAAGAATGATATGAATGAAAGAAAATGACTTACTTGCATCCCAATTTTCTAAAAGAAGATGTCGAAGGACAAGATTGCCTCTGTTGACAACTGAACTAAAGTTTCCTCGGTCATTCCCAAACTTAATAATCTGAATTGTTGAAAATACAATAAAATTGTCAAAAATTATATGAAGAATCAAGTGTCATTAAAGTAGCGGGCATAATTAGTCAAATGCCTATGGCTTCTGATTTCGAATAATTCTGCCTTATAGTTAATATAAGCTTAATTTCTGCCAGGAACTTTTTTCATGTACTGGGTATAAGATAATTTAAATAGATATAACTGATGATTTACTTTAGGTGCTCGCTGAAGCATGAACCATTCCTACTAAATTATCTTATTTCTTATGTTTTTAATCTGTAAAATATAGATTTATCAAAGAATTCCAGATGCTTATTTCCAATATTAACTTAAGAAAACCCCTGAATGGTATAGAAAGAACCAGAAACAAATAGTGACCATAATTTGAAACATATGAATGAATAAAAGTGGTTTCAAGTATCACACCTGGGTTGTAAATAGAGCTACTTTTATGATTTGTATCAAGAAGACGAAACAGTAAATCAAATGGAAGTTGCATGTGTTTCCCTTAAATTTGAATGCCGAATAGAAGTTAAGCCTCAACAGTCTTCGAAGTCTCTTTGCTTCATCCTTGTAATCTGTAAACAAACATGCAAATTTAGCGTTTCGAGTTTTAGCGTTCCTGATTAAAGGGCGACAACTCAATGTAGTGGTAATTATAGCAAAATCATTCTTTTATGGAAACGCATTTTTTGGTTAATAGTTAACTAATGCACAATCATTTCTTAGTACTTTAAACCTAAACAAAATTACATGTTTATCAAAGTAAAATCGCCATTTCTTTTGTAAGATGTAGCAGTAGGCGTCTAGTCGATAAAGATACAGCCTTTGTATAACATGAAACTGATAATAGGAAAGGCATTTTGGCTCAATAAAGCTTAAAAGCAACTGTTAATATAAAGAAGAAATGCATTACAGTACTGGGTATAAGCATTAAAATCCGAGGGCTTCTACACAATTATGTTTATTTGCGTTGTCGATTAGGTATTTCTGCATTTCATTATTACTGTGAGTGCGTGCGTGTGAATGCGTGCGTGTGTGTGTGTGTGCACGTGTGTGCGCTCGTGTGTGCGTGTGTGTGTGTGTGTGTGTGTGTATGTATGGAGCAATCGTTTTCGGCATGCTTTTAACTTGCTTTCAATTTGCAAGTGTAATGTCATATGACAAAACTGTTTTAAGGAGCTGTAGTTGCTGACAGCTATTCATACAAGGTGAACCTTTGAGCAAACCATGTGAAAAGGCCCGCACCAACGACTTGCTAATGTATACCTGCACTTAAAAATATGCCAGGAAAGGCGGCGTTCAACGAACGCAGCCCTCACAAATCACTTTTGTTATATTGTTCACATTTGCATTATGTCGCTTTATTTCTAAACATGGCTTTATATGAAAGAACAATGTACTAAGATCTTACTAAATGAGAGGAGTCATTTCCAATAAAAAACAAAACTTTAACGATGAGAAATATGTTTTCGACATTAAAATATACTTCCCAAATATCAGAAAATGACTGCAAAAATTGTGGTACCTCCCTAGGATAGAACCTTAATTCAATATTTCATTTGGTGGAACCTATTTATGCACAAACTATTTTGCTTTCAAGACATGTTCAACAGACGAGCGAAAATAAGACAGGTCCACAATTCTTGCAAGCCTATGTTCTGCTAACTAACAGAGCTAACTGGTCGGTTGTGTAACATCACAAAATGTGACCACAAGAATAGAACTGAAATGAGATCAGTTAAGCACATTTCTCGCGGCACTTCTAACACAAAGCAGATATCAAACATAAAGAAACAACAGTTTTTAAACATGTGAAGTAAATTTATTCTAGCATGTCAAATCATTCTTTGTTGGGTACTGATTGTTGCCACATTTCTCCTAAATGCTCGTATCTACCATTTATTAAGGAACACTTTTTGGAGACAAAGACAGTGTAGCAATAACGCGTGACCTCATTAAAATTGTCAGTTTTGGCGAGGAGTAGGCGAGTAAATCAAAATGTTCTTCATGGCTAATATGATTATAGTAAGAGAACGGAAGGTATCTTGCTTTGCATTTGCGACATATTCAATAAACTGCTTTAAACTGCTAAAATTATCCAATAACCCCTGATATTGGTGTTTTGAAACGAGCAATATTTGTCTTGAAAAATATGATGTCGAAAATGACGTCACGGTCACGTAGTATTGCCCCACTGAAGGAGAACTGCGTACAAGTTCCATTTTTATAAAATAAAACAAAACATGAATGTTACAGTTTATTAGGTACCTCATCAAATAGTTGTAACAACAAATAGCAAATTTACAAAATTTTATGTCATGAATTGAAAAAAATGCTTGCAGGCAGTTTCATGTTTTTCTATTGAACCAGCTTTATCTTTGGGTTTTGTGTAGCTTGTTATCAGTTAGCCAATGAAGCCAGGTGACGATGTGCTGAAATAAAAGCAATTAAGATTTGTAAATTAATAGTATATGATTGATATTACTTGTATCAATTTACCATTTTGTATGTTTTCCAAAACAAATTTACTAGACAGTGGTTTTACTATGAAAACCTAGCAAATAATTTAATTAGACTAATATGTTGATGACAAGTTAACATTTGTACTGTAAAAAATAGCCTCTCAACTACAACTACTTGAGTTAAAAAAGAAACATGCTTTACACTTATACTTGAGCATCTTGTCCACTTCCGATAATCAGCTAGCAAGAGCAATCACAGTGAAAATACAACAGATATTCGGCATTCGAGTAACCGCCATTTAACAACACCTTTAGAGCACCCGTTTACTTTAAGCAAACGTTCAATTTTTACACCGAGTTTCGTTAGTTTTCCCATTTTACCGACCAATGAAAATACCTTTTATGGAAATCTTTCAAATAGGCGGAACGTGGGCGATATTGACGTTTGGAAAAATATCGCATGTGCTTATACAAAAGATAAGCTGAGTCAAACCAAAACTGCGACCTGTTTTTGCTAAAAATGTTAAATACTTTAATTAGGATGTAACATACAGTTAAGTGAAATTTTATGCTCGTATAGAATTATTCTTTAAAAACAATTTCCAAACATCAAGAATATGATAGATATGTACAGCAAATGTTCAATGACATATACATTACAATTAGATTAAATTTTGATAATCTTCATTTAGGCATCAGATTTATGATATAAACTATAAAATGCGTTACAGTGTCTTAACGGGCGACGGCAAAAACATAGGAAACAATTTGTTTTTATAAACTAAACCTTAAATGTAGGTTTGATTGAACCTGTTCATGGACAGTATTGGAAAGTGCAAGTTACCATTCACGCCGCCCTAGCACCGGTTTAAGAAGTATTCAACATTTAAAGATAAAAATGGTAAAATTTCGAATATTGAAACATCCGCAGATGTGTTTATACGGCGGTGATCACGGAACCTTAAAAGTGGCACAGTAGTGTCATTCTATGAAAAGCGGCGTATGGTCTCCAAGGAAAAGAATGTGTGTGCCCTAAACAAGTTAACAATGGGCGGAACTAAATAAAATGAAATTTTGAAAGGGGATCCTGAAGCCTGCATATCACAGACAAGACGTCAAAAGACATATTTAAAAAGCAGGCAACATATCATAAGGGTGATTAACTAGTATTCAAGCAGGAATACTGGAACAATCCAAGTTGAAAAAGGCCAAATACAAGAAACTTAAAATACCATCTAAAATGTATACACAACAATATGTCGTGCTGAACGATCTTCAAGGATAAAAAATATAACATCATTGATTACATGTACGGGGAGACTTTTAAAACAAAATCTGTTAAATAATATTGGATTCCAAGTCATGTAGGTAAACGAGGATATGAAAAAGTAGATGCTTTAGCTAAACAATCATTAAAGTCTTATTGTAGCCTGTTTATGATTTTAGACCAGTTATTAACAAACTCATATGATCTGAACGGAAAGCAAATTGGGACAATGCCGTTTTAATTAACTTAACGATAAAAACCCATCTCTAGATGTGTCACCATCTCTATCTCTGTCAAACCGCCATGATCAAATAGTTTTTCTTCGATGCCATTTGGCCGCACTATAATTGCCCACTCTTATCTCCTCACGAATGACAATGGCCCTTTTTGTGTAGCTTGTAATGAAAATTTTATTGTCAAACATTTTCGTATTATGTGTCATGATTTTTCACAGGCCCGTAATAGATTCTATCATGAAAACTCACTAAAAGAACTATTTAATACAAGTCCATCACAAAACATCATTGCTTAATTGAAAGAGATAAACTTGTACTCTAGGATCTTATTGAATCATTTTTATTGTAATTTACAAAACATTACATAAAATTTTTAGCCTATTGTAGCATTTGGCACAATATGGCAAGTTATGTGTTGACGTGCCGTAAAAATCCAAACAAACAAACATCAAGAGCAGTTGCACGTGGAAGGAAGTGTAATTTTTCAGACTGTAAAAGTGACAAAAAATAGAGATGATATTTGGTGCTGATTGCTAATTTTAATGAACATAAGTAAGTTTTTCTTCTTATTATCTTTCAAATTTACATTATTTATCAATTTCACTTTTACATTTCCCCCAAAATCCCTGACAATTTCAAAACTGTAAACAAAAATAAATTGAGGTAGAATCTACAACATGGGGACAATTTTTTCGAGAAAAAAGTTTCGTTATTGAAAAGTATAAAATTATATCTTGATTTTTTCACTGTGAAATTATCAAATATATATTTTACGGATACATCAGTTATTCACTCAAAAAGTAAAATTGGATAATATGTAGAATTAAATATAAATATGATAACGAAATATGGATGAATTGCGTGTGCACGCGATACTTACTTTCCAACTACAATGCACTCAAAATTGATTTGTATTTCCTAAATAAAGAAAACACAATTAAATTTCTATTGCAATGACTAATGCGTTCGCTTCAAAGGAGTTTAATGCCATCGTACTGTAATATACGATATGTTTGAATATTTTGTTAACTGTTATTGCACTAAAAATAAGAAGTTAACAAGTTACTGTATTTAATAACTTGAATGTTTTATTGAACCTAAGTCTATGATCAAACTTTAGAAAATGTTAGATCAAACTTTAGAAAACGTTAGAGTATTTTCCCGAAAATCATCTTACGAAATGTGCGCATTAATTTTCCGTCAATTATCAGTTGCTTTTCAACATCTTTTGGTTAATTTGAGATTTTCTGAAAAAAGATGTCCATACTTTTCAAGATGATCTACTCATTAAAGGGATTGATCATGAATTTATGCCAATTCAAAAATTATATTCAGCATTCCCTTTCAGACAAAATAACATAGCGTCGCATCATGCAACAGTTTCAGCAGTTTAAAAAGTTAAAGTAAAAGAAAGCTAGCATTCATCTGCACTCATCGGTCAAATGTTCCATTACCTTTTTGTTTTTGTTTTTGTTTTTTTTTGTAAGGCATTCATTGGAATATAAACATTTTAATCATTTATTTTAACACTTACCAGTATCAACTTCAACATCATCTATCCTAATTGGTGGTACAGTTTCATTCTGATCTTCATTTTCAATGTCTGGTATTCACAAAAAAATGGCATTAGAACAACTGCATGCATGTAAAAATAAATCAATCAGTCATAATAACAACAAAATCATGACAAATTTTCTCTAACTTGTTTACAAACATCATGTCATGATCATAGTCATCAGCATTATTATCATCATATTAATTCTTGTAAACAATGTCATAATAATCATCATAACAGTAACAAATGAAAGCTTTAGTAGCAACAAATTCGCATTGTTTCAAAATAAACAACATACCATTTCCATGATTATCTGCCATCGTGAACTGCCTGCTGTACTCAAGTTAACTGTAACATGAAAGAAAAACAAGAATAAGTAATCTTTGTGACAAGGAAATTCATTTTTTTTTCATTATGTAGTATATTTAATAAAAATATCTGTTCCGTGTTGCATAAGAAAATGTTAAGTTTATTCAAATATAAAAATTAAGCAAGATAGATGTATTTGTCCCATTTCATTGGTTCAAAATAGTTGGTCTAGTATAGTGCCTTACGTATTTTTGCTCCCATTAAAGGCATTTGTGCAGGGATAAACGGCAATCTTTTTCAATAGTATTTCAGGTTTAATTAAGGTGCTTTACATCGACATTCACCCTTTCATTGTAATTTGATTCTGCAGCCATACTACCCTGATAGTTCAAAAGCGATTTCCCAAACATTTGAAGCTAATGACAAAATAAAATGTAGACATGGAAGCCTACATCACAAATTGAAATAGGTATTACCACGGTAGAAAATTAAATTGACGAGCCTTATGCCAGGATCACTCTTTTTATCGAATATTAACAAATTGGTCTAGTCTTCGAGATAACCTACACGGTCATGGAGTAAGTTGATTAAGGTAGACCACTTCAAATGGGCACTATAAGAAACTGTAAAAATGACAACATAGGACAGTTATATGCCTTAAAAGTCACCTGTATGCAAAATTTCAATACAATTTACCTTGTGGTTTATGAGTAATGGACATTTTTCTGTACATTAAAAGGGCCTGTTTCAGAAATGCGACGCCCTAAAAAATCTATAATATCATCATTATGAAAAATGTTTTCGTATTGCACATTATTAAGAAACAAATAATAACATTAAGGTAACAAATTACACAGGCAAAATGAATGTTTCTTAACAATATGCTTTAGTTATGTCTAAAAATTTTGCCTTACCCCACCCACTTTAAACACTTTTTTGACCAATTCCCAATATTACAAGCCACATTTAAAATATTCTTAAAATTTTCCACAATGAGGGACTGTTTTCAAAGATTGCCTCAATTTTCTTAACAGTAAATTGGTTGATTTTGCAAAATATAAAAAACATTTACTGTGTAGTTTTTTGTTTTTTTTTAAACTTATCTGATATCATATTTGCTATTACATTTGGCATTATTTAGCAAACAAATACATACAAGAATTTTATAATTAAAATATAACGCTTTTTTCTTCCATAAGGTATCTAAGAGATACATAAATAATGTTAAAAAGAAAAAAAGAAAGAGAAAAAAAACAGCATGGGTTTGAACCACATCCCTCAGTTTTAATGCAGTTTACAAATGTTTCTAGCCTATTTGAGTACAAAACAAAAATAACAAAAACAAAAAAAATACTCTCGAAAGTGGTTTTAATGCACTGGTTATACCAGTGGTCTATCTTAAAGTAACCAGACCTATAGTATCATTAAAATCATAGAGGTACATTATAAATTACGAAAACCAACGAATAAACTCCTTATAAGACAATAAGTCATTAAATATTTAAATGTCTAAGGTCAATAACGCCAGACAATAATTTTAGATATTTGCAAAACGATCGACTCTATTAACATTACAAAGCTGTTAATAGCTTAAACAGAAATTTGATATGTAAATTGACTCTTTGTCAAGGCTTTTTTATTACCGACCAACGGATTATAATTACATGTAATGACTACAGACATTATATCTATCCAAGCATAGAAGTAAGTTTCAAAAACTTTTATGTTTAAATTTTTATTATAGTCAATAAAGCCACATAATAACTATCATTCAAAATGTATCGGTAACGTTCAATTCTTAAAAAAGGTTGGGGCAGCCTACCAACATACAACCGAGCAAAATATACGTGTGATGCCCCTTGTATTTCCTTTTACCACAATCTTCACTGTATAAACGAATACTGATACAAAATGAAATGTGAAAAGATAGAGCATAACAATGATTAAAAACTAAAAGAGAAGCAGAAATGCAATTAAACTTTTACATGCTGAAGATATTATCTGCAGCACTTTTTTTTAACATATCTACATTTCCTGTATACATTGTCTTTGAACTGTTACAGTGTTTTCATTCACGGATTTCACTAACCGAGGGACTAAGTTTCGTTTTTATATAAATACATGTATATCTCATATTGTTCTGATACCGCTATTAAAATACTATTAATATTGCATCCATTTTAATCACACATCTGACATAATTCAAATTCTCTCCAATTATCTCATGCATAGAAAGCTACATTTTAAATCTTAAATCTTTTGATACGAGACTATATACTATTCATGGTTTAACGACGGCTGTATCGTTAGTGATTACAAAAATTATTTTATCCTTCAGTACAAAAATATAAGATTACAATAACTGCAAATGTTAACAAACCTCAGAAAAATCACCAAAATGTGCAGGTATCCCATATGCTATTTTACAAAATTACAAAATAAGCAGGCATATACATGTACTGACTGTGTAAAACACTTGAACAGTTTATGATTTTCGGTGTATTTTCAACCAGGAAGTAAATTAATTTTGAATCTCAAGGGCCAATCTGTAGCATTACGGATTCGCTCGATTATGGACCATTTACCCTTGGCATGCTGAATTTGTGACTTGATTTGGAAACAAGCCATTTACAACTTAAGGGGTGGCATTAAACAAAATACAAAAAGGGTACAGTATTGAGCCAGGTGAGGCTGTACGGATCTGCACGTAAAGGGTTTATCATCCTGTATAATTTTTCAAAATGCAATTTCACGTAGGGTATATATATATTACCACTTTATTAAAACCTACCCAGACTGTTCCGATTAAAACCAATTTATCAGAGGCAATAACCGTTACTTCTCAGAATTTTAAAAACCGAAAGTACTCTGACGCTGGCGGGTCCGTCTCATGCATATCTACAACGCCAAAGTATGCCTGATAGTGCTTCTTCATAAACTGCTTAGTTCTCTGAAAATATTCACCAAAGACTTTATAATTAATACTTCTTTATCAGTGGTGTTATATGGCTCTGTTTATTGGCGGGGTAAAATTTACAGCTCCAAGCATGATCGGATATAGGTTTTTTATTGAGATTTCCTTACAACATGTACATGTAATTAAATGCCAAAAAAATACTTCTTTAAAAGTATTTTGAAGTTTTTATAAAAACAAATATCAGAAGACTTAAAAGTTAAAAGAATCATGCCTAAGACAAAACTTTCAATTGGTTGTGACACATTGTGATAATCAAATTTACGGGTGATATTATGACATTATGCAGTCTCATTTCCGTGCGTTACTTCTCGTTTGTCAATTGGAAACGTTAACTCTGCAATAAATTATAAAGAGCGTGCTTTTTTCTAGCAGTTTACAAACCTTTTCTATCATAGGACATTACTTCTTTTCTCAGACCATGTTTTACATTTTCCCTTTTCTTTTTCCAAAAAAATTAACACAATCGTAAAATCATTTTGAAAATGAAAGAAACTAAAAGTCAGTCTTAGTGTACACAGACTTTAACCCAAAACTAACCGGCATGTAAACCCTCTTTGGCTATTATATAAAACAATGTTCAGTATGTTAAGCTTATATTTGGACTCAGATTGCATCATGAACTTCATGAAATATACATCAAAACAGGCGGGAAAAATTGTACTTGTTGTTTGGTTTTGTTTTGCGTTGTTTATTAATATTATCATCATCATTATCATTCATTTATTAATATATTATTTTTTTTCTAGTGTTTGTTTTCCTTTTTTGCTTCTGCATTAGTTTCGTTTACCAGATATGGTTGTTTTTCTCCAATACTCACATCATAAAAAGCGGGAAAGTCGATAATATTCCGTTGTTATCTGCTGTTTGAACATAATAACCAATGGTTTTTTTCTGCGTTATAATACTGCAATAATTTAAAAAGGAAGTAAAACAATATGTTTTTTTTTTCAAAATGGACGGAATTATGTGAAAGTATACGTTACCAAGTGCCTTCTCGTTCTGCGTTATCATACTACATTAATATAAATAGAATATTAAAATATGATACTTTTTGTTCAAAGAAGACGGAAATATATGGTATTCAGTATTTTTCTTTCGGATACTTGGCGAATCACTCAAAAAGAACTCGAAAGTCAATAAACTCGGCAATGGACATTTATATCTTGCAAATCAAATAACAAAATTTTCATTTTATGAAACTCGTATATATACCGTTTGCTATAAAATACAACACATTTTATTTTACTAATTGAATAACTAATATAAATATAGCACGTTGTTGTTTGCTATAAAAACATAAAGTTCACCAAAATCATATACATTGTAGTTAATACCACTCTCGGATATAAAGTCACCTTGTGCAGGAGGATATGGCAGCGTTTCCCTGTCTGTAAAATATAGAGTCCATCAACATATTGGACAATGTCTATTTATGAAACAATTCTTAAGGATTTTTGTACCCAAAGAATTAAATGATATCTTCTTTAAGTATTCAATTTGTATCATATAAATTTATCCGACATGTTGTAATCCTTGTAGTTGTCCATGCGGACAAAAAGAATGATATGAATGAAAAAAATTACTTACTTCCATCCCAATTTTCTAAAAGAAGATGACGAAGGACAAGATTGCCCTTATTGACATATGAACTAAAGTTTCCTCTCTTATTCCCAAACTTGATCACCTGAACTTTTATTCAAATGGAAGTTGCATGTGTTTTCCTTACATTTGAATGCCGAATAGAAGTTAAGCCTCAACAGTCTCCGAAGTCTCTTTACTTTATCCTTGTAATCTGTAAACAACATGTAAAGTTAGCGTTTCAAGTTAACGTTCTCAATGAATTTCAAAGTGATAATTTTAGCAAACTCATTTGTTATTGAAACGCTTTTTTTTTGTAAATAGTTACCTAATGGACAATCCTTTCTTAGTACTTTAAACCTAACCAAAAATACACGTTTATGAAAGTTATATCGCCTTTTCTATTGTGAGATGAAGCAGTAGGCGACAAGTCGATAAAGATACAGCATTTGTATAACATGAAAATGATACCATAGTAAATTGTAATTTATTTAGACTATGGTACCTACAGACAGACATGATCATCTGACGTTGATAATTTGAAAGGCATTTTGGCTCAATACAGCTTAATAGCAACTGTTTATATAAGGAAGAAATTTTCGGAGAATTCGTTTAACTAATATATTCTTGGTTATATTCACTTCAAACTAACATTATTCAGTTACATTACAAAACTTGGATAAAGAATTAAAATCCGATCGCTTCTACACAATACTGTGAATGTGCGAAAAAAGGTGTATTTACTTTGTCCGATTAGATAGTTCTGCATTTTTTTATTATTGTGTGTGTGTGTGTGTGTGCGTGTGTGTGCGTGTGTGTGCGTGTGTGCAAATGTGTGTGTGTGGTGGAGAAACCGTTTTCGGCATGCTTTTAACAAGTGTGATGTCATTTGACAAAACTGTTTTAAGGAGCTTTAGTTGCTGTATATTCAACCATATAGAAAAAGGGCCACACCGACGACTTGCTTATGTGTACCTGCACTTTAAAACATGCAAGGAAAGGCGGCGTTCAACGATCGCAACCCTCACAAAACACTTAAGATATATTGTTCACATTTGAATATTGTTGCTCTTTTCTAAACATTGCGTTATATGGCAGTACAATGTACTAAGATTTTATTAAACAAGAGGAGTCATTTTTAAAAAAAAAAACTTTAAGGGTGTGAAATATGTTTTTAGCATACATCTGTTACTGTTGTTTTCAAATATCATAAAAAATGCCTGCAAAATGTGTGGTACTACCCCAGAATAGAACATTCGAATTTTAATGTTTCATGTTGGTGGCACATTTTAATAAACACAAGATTTTGCTCCCATTGTAGGGCCGGGCCAGGCTGCACATCATTTTGGAATAATCAGGTTCTATACTGTTAGCTGCTCAAATATACACTTTCATCCTCAAATTCTTGAAATTCACTGTTGGGACATGTTCTGCAGACAAGTGAATAAAAAATAAACAAGTATAAAATCAAGATCAAAAAAACTTGCAAGCCCAAGCTGTGCCAACTGTTAGAGCAAACTGTTCGCTTGTGTATCCCACAAGAATAGAATTGAAATGATATCATTTAAGCAAGATTCTCGTGTATTTTAAACTCACTCTTTACACCAGACAACTATCAAACAAAAAGAAACAACAGATTTCAAGCATGTGAAGTAAGTTTATTCTGGCATGTCTCATTATTCCTTGTTGTTTGGAAAATACTGATCGTTGTCAGATTTTCGCATGTGCTTGTATCGCCCATTTAAATAGGAGAAATTTTGGAGACAAGAACAGTGTAGCAATACCGTGTGACCGCATTAAAATTGTCAGTTATGGCACCAGTTCCTTAACAATAACTACTTATAGAAAGAGAACGGAAAGCATGTTGCTTGGCATTGGCGACATATTCTGAAAACTGCTTTAAATTGTAAAAAACTTGGGGCATAACCCCTGATATTGGTCTTGAAAATGATGCCGAAAAATGACGTCTCGGTTACAAGTCCGGACAAGCTTTTGTGTATCTGGCAACACACAGAAATCCTGTAAAGTTTCATTGAAATTGCATTAGTCGTACAAGAGAAGTTGTCCTGAAAAACTTCAAAAATAAAAATTATTTAAGGACCATTACTCTTACAAAAATCATTGAACCAGAAAATGCTGACAATATGCACAACTAGACTTGGTACTGATCATTTCTTTAAAATTTGGATGAAATTGCACCAATAGTTTATGAGGAGTAGTCCGTATCTGGAAACACACAGAAAAAAACACCTTTTTATCAAAGGACCATAACTCGGCCAAAAATTATTCAACCGGAAAACCCGTGCAATATGCAAGGACTTGAGCTACAAATCAATCCTGTAAAGGTCATTGAACCGGAAAATGCTGACAATGTGCACAACTAGACCTGGTACTGATCATTCCTGTAAAGTTTGGATGAAATTGCACGAGTAGTTTATGAGGAGTAGTCCGGACAAGTTTGTGACGGACGAACAGACGGCCAGGCGGACAGACAGACGACGGAAAAATGACTCATATAAGTCACCACTACTCTGTAGAGTAGAGGCGACACAAAAATCAGGTTTTGATAATTTTCACTGTGAAATTTTCAAATAGGATACATCAGTAATCTACCCAAAAGCATATTAAAATAAAATGGGATAATATAATTGAATTTTAAATAAAGAATTATTGATTGATGTAGTCCCTTACCGAATGTATTGCAACAAAATGTTATAATTACTGAACTAAGCTTTTATTATATCAAAGAAATCATCATGATGTTACGAATGAAGTTACAGTTAGCTAATACTGGAAGAAAATGATGTTAATATGCGCAATGAGGAAGAATGAATTTACAAAGTGGGCTGAGTTAGAGCGAGCTATCGTCTGATCGCCTGACCATTGGTTAAACTATATTTCATTAACTCTCTTCAAACTTGCCAGACACCTAAGAGATCACCCGTGTCG